TAGCTTCTCCCAAGAAATTGTGTTACATAAAATTTCCACTTTGCCTTTTTTGCTAGGTCGTATTCATTCATTTTCAACAACTATGTTAATTATGGGAACAATTACTGGTCATTTGATTATAAGCAGTAGATATTCCACTTGCAGCCCTTCTTGTCTAGGGCCATTTTAAGAACGAAGGCATCAGGTGTGGAAATGAGCAGTTTTATGTGTTGTCCAGGAAAATAATGTAGAGGTAGATGATTAATTCAAGCACTTTCCTTATAAATAAGCTTGTCATATAAACAGCCTGTTTCAGTCTCTTTTTGTTCCAACTGGAAAGGATGTATTCACTTTTATTAACCAAAAATATTTTTATATGGAGGAAGAAGGAAGATGGGTTGGTTAGTTTTATGTCTGTTGAGCTCTTCTGACAACCATGGTTTTTCACTTTTTATTCTTGGTAAATTTCAAGTTTTGAGTTGTTAGTGGTGTTTGTTCCAGCTAAGCATGCCATTGGCGTTCGCAAACTCTGATTTGTTCCTGTTCGAATTTCAGAGGTTCTCAAGGTTTTCTCATTCTTCCAACATTTTTCTTGCCACTTTTCAGGTATAAATTTAGATTTGGCATCCTGGTGCCATGAAATTTATCTTCTAGTTGTAGGAAGATACATTCCATGTACAGAAATCTGTTGTTAGGTTTGTACTGTGGTTTCAGGTTTTGGTTGTAAGATACTTCTGGCTAAACTTTATATACATGAAATCATCTCTGCACAGATACACTAGTTTGTATATGAAACACATCTATTTTATTATAATAAAATCCTTTTACCTAGAGAAATAAAACTTTTTAAGTTTCTTGTTTGAATGTTATAATTTAAATGACGTTGTCTCCCAGTTGTTTGTCCCTTGAAGTCCTGGTTTATGCCTGTTTCTCTAGCATGATTATTAATAATACCCTCTTTCACTCATAAAAATGCCTCAAGTTGAAAAATACGTTATTTGGATACGAGTTATAATATATACTAGGTCACTTTACTTTTGCACTTTCCGTAGGATTGATCAGATTCTTTTCCCTTTTCTGCCATCTTTCCTCTCTACCTCCCATGCACAAATACAGGATGGATAGGAGAGATAAGTACGTGTATATGGGGGATGAAGTTTGTAGGAAGCAACATGAAAGAATCATGAAAAATGGTTTTGAAATCAAATGCTAGCTTTTGAAAGATCTATTTGAGAGAGAGAAAGAGAGCAAAAGAGCATGAGCAGGGTGAGGAGCAGAGGGTGAGGGACAAGCAGACTCAGTGCAGAGCCCAGTGCAGGGCTCGACCTCATGACCCTGAGATCATGACCTGAACCAAAAATCAGGAGTCGGGCACTTAATTGACTGAGCCACCCAGGCACTCCTCAAATGTTAAGTTTTTTTTTAAAGCATTTTAAAGGATGAAATATTTTAATTTTATATTTAAAACATTTGTTATAATGCTGACCAGTTGGCCAACTCCCAGCATCTCTCTTTATTATTGTAATTACATTTGATTATATAGTCAGTTTGGACTTTTAAAACATTAGCTTCATTAGCTTCTACATGCTGTGGATAGTCTATCAATTTTTTGAGTTTGTTCTTTTGAAGAACATTAGATTTCCTGCTCTTCCATAAGTGTATGTTGTTACATTTTCTAATGCATTTAACATTTAAAATGGATAATTTATTAGTTATATGGCAGTTAGGGTTTTATCTGTAGCCAGAATATAATCCATCTGGTGTTCTAGCAAACCAGTCTAATTAGGTCTGAAGGAGCATGGACTATAAAAACAATTGTATATATAATATAATCACAGTTCTTTCAAGACTTATTTTTGATTTAACATTTGTGCTATGAAATTGAAGGATAATTGGAAGGCACACAGGCAGGGATGAGGGGCTGACGCCCTAAGAGGAAACAACCCTTAAAAGGATTTTATATGGCCCTGGAAGGAGCCTTCCACCCTTTCCCATATGACAAAAACCTAATAGGATGACAGGTGCGGGGAGGGTTAATCAGATTAAAGCAGCCCACCAGCAAGCCCCTAGATTTAGAAAACTCCAGTGGCAACGCCTTCGGGTCCCCTCCCTCCTGGGCAGCTTTGTACTACCACTTTGCTATCACTCAATAAACCTTGCTTTGCTGCCCACCATTCTACCTCTTCATTCTTCAAAGCGGCATGACCTAGAACCACGGGCACCGAGGGCGGAAAAAAGTCCTGCAACAAGTTTTCATGGAGAAACAGTGCCCTTAAGAAAGGCAGCATAGTTTGGCGAGGAGCCTGGACTCCAGAACCAGACAATTTGGACACCATAGCTTATTTACTTCTGACCTTAGATAAATACTTTACTTCTCTGTGTTTCAGTCTTCTCCTTTGTAAAAAGGAAATAATGATGCAACCTATTTTGTGGGGTTGTTGTGAAGATTAAATGAATTATTATATGCAAAATGCCTAAAATAGTTCCTAGCACGTGGCAAGCACTTTATGTTTGTTATTACTATTATTGTCAGTGAAATACATTCCGTTCATATCCGATTTAATTTGAAACCTTAAAGGTCAATTGATAATATTAAAGAAAGTATCTATATCTTTCTGTTAAAAGGAATTGTATGGCTTCTTGTATGCAGGTTGTAGGTGGTATGGTAACTGATAAGGAAATTAGGTTCACACAGAAATCCTACCAGCAGACATCTGTGGGAGGACCTGTTGATAGAAACCTCAACTTCTAGCACTTTCTCTGATTCATTTTAGTTTTCTTTTTTTGACTTACCTTTACTTATTTGTCTTTCAAGATCCAACTGACATATCTTCCCTTCATTCACTCATCTTTCTTCCTCCAGTTAAAAAATAATCAACTCCTCTCCTTTGTGGCCTTGAAATTTTGTTATGCTTTAATATAGCACTAATTATAGTTAACTGGATGATATAGATTGTGGCATCTTGAATCCATTATAACCTTCTAATCATACCTCCACTCAAGCCCTATTATTAGTTTATTCTGGGTTTCATTTCATTCTCTGTGACTTTCTTTTATTTCTAATGCCCATTATTGCCAGAAAGGAAATATAGTTAGGGACTGAAGCTTCTCTGCCTACTGAGGAAGCATTGATTAATAGTACTATAATTGCAATCTACTTGGAATTTTACTATTGAAATAACTCAGAGAATAATGAAGCTATCTTTGAGAAATGAAAATTACAACCATTTTGTGATGATTTACTGACTAAAATATATAGGTCATCTAGGAATGAAAAATATATAAATATTTAATATGCTTAAAGAATTTGATTCTATGTATAAAACTAAATTTTCATGTTTCAGTTTGATAGAATAGTTTTGGAAGGTCATTGCAATCAGGATAATGTCAGAAAATAATGACATGACATTTTGTGATATCTATTTTAAAATGCACTTCCATTTGAATAATAGTATACAAAAGCTGTTTTCTTTTTAATAAGTTATCTGTATTACAGTTTTTTTAAACTATTTTATTTCTGCCTCATAAACCATTTGACTGATGAATCTCCATTGGTTGATAGGTTTCCAATTTTAATTTTGTTGTTAGCATCACAGTGTAAAAGATGACATTTCATAGTGGCACAGCAAGTAAGCATTCCTATCCAATAGTTATTACATAGATTTATTCAAATGATGTGGGTTTTCATGACTTTCTACTGACATTCTCCATGAATAATTAACACAAAATCCTAATACCTAATCCAGTGCTTAATGGGGGATGTGGTGATATGATGTAAAAAACTATTTGCTTTGCAGTAAAGACATCATTGGGCTCAAATTATGGCTTTAACATGGGGTGTGACTTTGAAGTAGGTACTTGAGCTCTTGAACTCCAGTTTACTCCACTATGAAACAGGTTAGAAAATAAAACATAAGGAATTTGTAGAAATTGGGTACGCACAATCATTTATGTCACACTCTACATTTATTTACAACTATGTTAGAGAAGAACATTTTTTAAAAATTAAGTGGCTCTCTGAAAGAAGCTTCCTGTTGATTTTTTTCTTGATCCAGACTTCTGCTTTGATTAAAAAAACAAAGGAGATTTGATCTTTAAAGGCTCATATCTTGCTGTGGCACTCTTGTTACCTTCTGCCTTTTGGACATTATCCTTAACTGTCACTAAATTTATCTTTCTCTCAGTTTCAGTTCCTGCTCTCATCAGTATTGTAAGTGGATGACTTAACCTAATGCTCTGACTTCATGCTTTCTTGACCCCTACGTGAATATTGACCTTTATTTCATCTCTCCTTCACTTAGCTACTTTACTGGTCACACCCTGGATCTTGGAATCAACTAAAATGATGTCACTGAAAGTACTGTTCTGCCTCCACATCACCATCCTTTAACAGCAATCTCTAGTCTTCCATCTTGCTTGTACACTACTTACATTTATCTGTTTGTCATCTTATCAGGACTCCATGTCCTTTGCCCCTTCTACTTTGTCCTAACCTGTCAGCTCTCTTGAGTTCTTGAGTTCTCTTCTTTTCCATTCCTCTATAAGTGAGATCCCAAGGGCCATCACTTCAATTTACTCATATCCCAAACTTTGTTCCCATTTTGACACTTGTGATCTCTATATTATACTTTTCATTTAAAATGTTTTAGAGAACATTTATTAACTTCTCAAGAGCTCGGTTTCTTCCGGATATTTTGTAATCATACCTACTTCACTAGATTATGGTAAGGTTTAAACAAGTTACTGTATATATAAATTATTGAGCCTACCTTCACCCCATGTGGAGATAAGTTATGGAGAAAGATAATGTGACATATAGAGATAGACCATGTTTGCACCTGCATTACTGTCCTGCTACAGAAAAACACCAAGGCAGGCAAATTCATATAATATGCACCTTGGGTCACCACCCTCCAGTGGGTCCTTAAGAGTGTCAGATAATTCTGAGCAAACACGTTTATGAAACTTTAAAAGATAGATATTTTGGTTTTGGAACAAATGAGTATATGTTTAAATTTTAGAAATCTCCGAGAAGCCAGGGACAATGCTGTGGTGGAAAAGGACCGAGCAGTGATGGCTGAAAAGGATGCTTTAGAAAAACACGATCAGCTCTTAGACAGGTAAGCATTCTAAAAATCTGGAAATGTTAAAAACTCTCTTTTGATTTTCGTTGCTATAACTTTTTCTTCTAAGGAAAAATATTTTTAATAGAAGTATAATATTTAATTCCATTGAACCATAGTTATGCGCATTGTTTTTGTAATATGTAATTATTGCATATACTAAAATAAGATATAGCCAGTACAGTCACCCTACAGAGTTTCCTTATATGCCTTTTATCCAACTCAACCACTGTTCCTCAAAAGGTAAACACTGTCTCATTTCTGTCACCATAGCTTAGTTTTGCTCATATTGGATTGAAAATGAATGGAATTGTACAGTATGTACTTTTTTGTGTCTAGCTTCTTTCATTCAACATTATATTTTCATCCATTTTGTTGTTATATCAGTAGCTCATTCCTTAGTGTTGCTGGGTATGAATATATCACATTTTGTTTTATTTACTCACCTATCAGTGGACATTTAGGTTGTTTCCATTAGGTTGTTTCCATTTTGTAGCTATCATGAATGAAGCTACTATGAACTTTTTTATAACGTCTTTTTTGGGTTTTTTTTTTTTTTTTTTACTTATCTTTGGTAAATTTTCTCTAGGAGTTGAATTGCTAATCATAAAGTAGAAGGAGTTTTACTTTAAAAAGAAACTACTGAACTTGAGTCCAAAGTGTTAATACCATTATATGTCCCCAGATCATTTCTTAAAAATCTGTATGCTCTGGCTCATGTGTATTGGAGAAAGGGAAAGAGAGAAAATGATTTGTCTTTAATTTATCAATAGAAAAGTGTATTTATTTTTAGTAGTCTAGCTAATAGAAATATCACTGATGAGTATTAAGGTAAATACTGTTGAACACCCTAGATTTTCAGTGGTTTGACTACATACAGAGTAAACAGAATCATTACCCTTTTTTTTTTCAACTTTTATTTTGAAAATAATTTCAGAGAGAAAAGTTGCTAAACTAGTTCATCAAGTTTCCATATATCTTTCACATACTGATAAACTTTGAAAATAACTCAGTGAAACTTTTAATTATTAAATGAAGACTTACAGATTCATTTGTGATTTAAGCAATATCTGACACTAAAAATTGAGGTAAGTCTTCATATAATTAACCTATTACTGAAATCTTCTAGAAGTGGCTCAAATTGTTATACTTCTGAATTCACATCAACTTTATAAACTTGGCACATTAATAAAAATAATATTAGAGGAGTCTCTTCTGTAATGTGAACGTATATCTAAATCCAAACATTTTAATGTAAAATACTTTTATAAGTCAGCTGTTTTTATTGGAGTACTGTTATAACCTACCATAAGATCTTTTATTATGTATAACCTTTGCATTTATGAAACTATATGGTATACACAAAAGATTTATTTGGCTTTTTGTTGATGTTGTTTTTTAATGTGACGTTTTTAGGAATGGTCTAGAATAACACTGATGGACATACTAACAAACTTCAAAAGAAAGTGCAAGTTTTTAGCTAGTAAAACAGAACTGTTATATTCGGGCAGAATTTTATAACTTAGTAGCATTTCATTTTTGTGAATTTGGAGAAAAGAGAGTAGTAAATATGACCTTAAAATTGGCTGTTTTATATTTTTCTCACCTCTCTTTTGTTCTAAACTCTGGTTCTCTAAAATCCTTCTTACCTTACTTGTCCATATACTAGCAACCGGTATTTATCCTAAAGGCCGTGGGATGCTTTAGTCCTTAAAGGGATCTTTTGAATTATTGAGAATTCAATCATTTAAAGTTTGTAAAGCATGTAGAACAGTGTCTTGCATATAACTAGTAATATAGGAATGTTTGTTTTTATTATTATAAAATAATTGTTCAATTAGCTCTGAAATCTTGCTATTTAAAAGTTGATCTTTTAAAATCATTTTCCACTAGAATTTTGAATAAACTGGAACAGCTCATTTTTCCCATTAAGGTTTAATTGATACACAGTATTATATTTTATTTCAGGTGTACAACATAGTGACTCAGTATTTATACACATTACAAAAGGATCACTACAATAAGTCTAGTTACCACCTGTCACCATGTAAAGTTTTTAAAATGTTATTGACTGTATTCCTTATGTTGTACATTACATCTCCATATATTATTTATTTTATAACTAGAAGACTGTACCTCTTAATCCCCTTCAACTATTTCTTCCATCCCTCTATCTGCTCTCTCCTCTGGCAACCATCAGTGTATTTGAGTCTGTTTCTGCTTTTTGTTTGTTTGTTTGTTTTGCTTCTTAGATTCCACATGTAAATGAAATCATAAGGTATTTGTCTTTCTCTGATTTATTTCACTTACCATAATATGCTCGAAGTCTACCCATGTTGTTGTAAATAACAAGATTCCATTCTTTATGAGAACTAATATTCTTGGGGGGGGTGTACACACATACCTACATACATTTACACACATACATACACAACACATCTTCTTTATCCATTCATCTATCTGTGGACACTTGGGTTGCTTTGATACTTTGGCTGTTGTAAATGATGCTGTGATTAGCATAGGAGTGCTTGTATCTTCTTAAACTAGTGTTTTTGTTTTCTATGGATAACAGAATTATAGTTATCTATAGCTGTAGAATTGCTGGATCATATGGTCATTCTATTTTTAACTTTTTAAAGGAATCTCCAAATTATTTTCCATAGTTGCTATATTAATTTACATTTGCACCAAAAGTGCACAAGAGTTCCTTTTCTCAAGTGCGCCACATCACTCATCATCAGGGAAATACAAATCAAAACCACAGTGAGATACCACCTCACACCAGTCAGAATGACTAAAATTAACAAGTCAGGAAACGACAGATGCTGGCGAGAATGCGGAGAAAGGGGAACCCTCCTTCATTGTTGGTGGGAATGCAAGCTGGTGGAGCCACTCTGGAAAACAGCATGGGGGTTCCTCAAAAAGTTGAAAATAGAGCTACGCTACAACCCAGCATTCACAGTACTGGGTATTTACCCTAAAGATAAAAATGTAGTGATCCAAAGGGGCACGTGCATCCAAATGTTTATAGCAGCAATGTCCACAAGAGCCAAACTATGGAAAGAACCTAGATGTCCATCAACAGATGAATGGATAAAGAAGAGGTGGTATATCTATACCACGGAATACTATGCAGCCATCAAAAGAAATGAAATCTTGCCATTTGCAATGATGAGGATGGAACTAGAGGGTATTATGCTGAGCGAAATAAGTCAATCAGAGAAAGACAATTATTATATGATCTCCCTGATATGAGGAATTTGAGAGGTAAAAGTGGGGAGTTTCGCAGGTAGGGAAGCAAAAAATGAAATAAGATGGGATTGGGAGGGAGACAAACCATAAGAGACTCTTAATCTCACAAAACAAACAGGGTTGCTGGGGGGAGGGGTGTATGGAGAGGGTGGTTGGGTTATATGGACATTGGGGAGGGTATGTGCTGTGGTGAGTGCTGTGAAGTGTATAAGCCTGACGATTCACAGACCTGTACCCTGGGGCAAATAACACATTATATGTTAATTTTAAAAACAATAATTTGGAAAATTACAAAAAAAAAAAGAGTTGCTCGCTTCGGCAGCACATATACTAAAAAAAAAAAGAGTTCTCTTTTCTCTACATCCTCACCAACATTTGATATTTCTTGTCTTTTCAGTAATAGCCATCCTGACAGCTGTTAGGTGATACTCTTTGTGGTTTTGATTTGTGTTTCCCTGATGATTAGTGATGTTGAACATTTTTTCTTGTGCCTTTTGGCAATCTGTATGTCTTTGGAAAAATGTCTATTCCAGTCCTCTGCCCATTCTGTAATCAGAGTGTTTCCTTAATACTGAGTTGTGTGAGTTCTTTTTCTATATAGATATTAACCTCTATTTGTATATATCATCTGCAAATATCTGCTCCTATTCTGTATGTTGTGTTTTTGTTTTGTTGATAATTTTCTTTGCTGTATAAAAACTTTTTAGTTTGATGGAGTCCCATTTGTTTATTTTTGCTGCTGTTTTCTTTGTCTGAGGGGACAGATCCAAAATAATAGTGCTAAGATCAATGTCAAAGAACTTACTGCCTGTGTTTTTTTCTAGGAGTTATGGTTTCAGGTCTTTAATCTGTTTTTGAGTTTATTTTTGTTTATGGTATAAGAAGGTAGTCCAGTTTGGGTGGCTTTCCAGTTTTCCCCAATACCATTTACTAAGAGATTCTTTTTTTCCCATTATATATCCTTGCTTCCTTTGTCATAGATTAATTGACCATTTAAGTATGGGTGTATTTCTGTGCTCTCTAGTCTCTTCCATGGACATATGTCTGCTTTTGTGCCAGTACAATACTGTTTGATTACTTTAGATTTGTGGTATAGTTTGAAATATGGTTATGATAATTGAGCTTTATTCTTATTTCTCAAGATTGCTTTGGGTATTCAGGGCCTTTCATGGTTCCATACAAATTCTAGTATTATTTGTTCAAGTTCTATGAAAACTGCCCTTGATATTTTGATAGGGATTGCATTAAATTTGTAGATTGCTTTAAGTTGGATATTTTACCAACATTAATTCTTCTAATTCTTCAATGTTGTATATCTTTCCACTTAAGTTGTTTTTAGTTTCTTTCATCAATGTGTTACAATTTTCAGAGTACAGGTCTTTAACCCCTTGGTTAAATTTATTCCTAGATATCTTACTCTTTTTGATGGAATTTTAGATAGAATAGTTTTCTTAATTTCTCCTTCTGATAGTTTGTTATTAGTGTACAGAAATGTAACAAATTCATGTATATTAATTTTGTATCCTCCAGGTTTACTGAATTCATTTGTTAGTTCTAATAGTTTGGTGTGGAGTCTTTAGGGTTTTCTATATATAGTATCTCATCATCTGCAAATAATGACAGTTTTATTTCTTCCTTTCCAGTAAGGATGCCGTTTTGTTTTTTTTTTTCCCCCTCGGTCTAACTGCTGTAGCTAAGGACTTCTAGTACATGTTGAATAAAAGTGGTGAGAGTGGGCATCCTTG